AACAGCTAAAAACAGTAAAAATAAATCCTGAGAGGCAGATACCACCTCCAGTACAACTGCATTTATGAATACTTTTATTCAAAAAGTCTTCCGCAAATAGAGAGTTCTAACTGATGCATCGTTTGTTGTTTACTCGCTCAGTCGTGTCCAATACTTTTGTCACACCATAGACTACAGCCCAACAGGTCCTCTGTCCATGGGATTTTTCCAGCAAGAATATTAGAGTGGGTTGCCATTTCCTTCTCCAGGAGACTTTCCCCACCCAGGGATCGAACCCGAGTCTCCTGCACTGCAGGTGGATTCTTCACCCGAGCCACTGGGGGAAGCCAAACTGGTGCCAAACTCATTGTAAGTGTCTCAGGCTAAGAACTCTCCATCTCAAATCCGTCCAGTCTACTAAGTTGTTAAGCAACAATGGTCCAGGAGAGAAAATGAAAAGAAAAAAAACACACACACACAAACCCCAAAAAACTATTCTTACAGCCTGCAACATCTCTCACAACTTGCTCTAGGAGAACTGTTCAGCGTTCGCAAACATCAACCCTTTAGAATCCAGAATTTCAGAAAGATTGGCTTGGAAAATGTTTTTCTTGTTTCCGTGTCTGTCTCTGAGGTAATGCAACCCGTTCAGTAAACCGAGGCAAAGCCTGAGGGGCAGCAGGGGCTGCGGTGAGGGGAAGGAGCACGGAGTGGGTGGGAAACAAACCCCCCACAAGCATTAACAGCAAGACCCTGGTCAGCGCCAACACCCCCAAGTGCCCAACAGATGCGAGCAATTCAGGGAAGCGCTGCGTGGCGGACTTGGCACGGCGCTCGAGTGGGGAAACTGTTGTTTCAGAAAAAAAAAGCGTCGTACGCCAGAAGCGATCGTCTTCCCCAGTCGACGCCTGCATCTCGGCGCCGGAAGCCGGCGTGCGTCGCAGTGCGTGGGCGGAAGTCACTCAACTCCGTCAGGCGGCCCAGAGCCGCACAACAAGCATCCGATTCTCGTTCCAGGAGAGGGAGCCAAGCAAGCGGCGCTTCCACCCGCGGAATGAGGAAGCAGACGCCGCTCTCCTAACTAAAATAACGGGGGCGGGGGGCATTTTGGGAGAATCGAGCCAGTGTAGCAACCTCTGAGAAAAGAGAACCCACGCGAACACCGCGGTCACAATTCAGATGACAGCAACCCCAAATCTAAACAAAAAAACAAAACACAAGCGTCCTAGACTGAGTTACGCAGTTGCCCTCGTTTCTTTTAAGCTGTGTGACTTAACTTTGTGTAAGCCAAAGACAAACATGTCTTGAATCAGAGTGGAAAAGAGCAGGAAACGAGATCCCAAGAGTCGAGCTACCCTGTTTTAGCTTCCTGAACTATGGTGTGACTGTCACGTGCAGCTCTTTGCGACCCCAGGGACTGTATTCCCGCCAGGCTCCTCTGTCCATGGGATTTTTTCAGGCAAGGATACTGGAGTGGGTGGCTATTTCCTCCTCCAGGGGATCTTCCCGACCCAGGGATTGAACGCACATCTCCTGCATCTCCTGCACTGGCAGGCAGATTTCTTACCACTAGCGCCACCTGGGAAGCCCATGCAGACAGATTACCTTTTTCCAATCCAAAAATATGTACTAGGTTTTAACAGAGAGAAATGTTGACAGGATGTCTTATCATTAGAATAATACTTTTCATTTTGGGTGTTCAGAAATAAGAACAGCGCATCACTGACTTAGTGTTTTTCTTTCTTTCTCGCTTTTAAATAATTATCCTTTTCTATAAGGCTATTCTCTTCTTAAAAAAAAAAGATTCTATTCTAAAAGATCTCACTTGGAGCTGTTCTACATAAGTACAAAAAAAAAAAGCAGACAGAAATGTTACATGAGACTTTTTTTCCACTCTGAAAAAATGCCAGGATTCCAGAGGTTAGTACAGAATTGCTTGTTACAATAAACTCAGGCAGTTAAAAATTGTCCAGAGCTTTATAATACAGACAGTGCATCTATAAAGAAAGCTAATGAGGTTATTAAAAAGGAATGTATTCTCTGAAAGATATTTCTACCTAGTTAAATCATTCACTTAAGAACACTCAATTTTTTGTTCCCTTATAAAAAATATTAAATTTGTTCCTCTGTAAAAAACACCGCTCTTAAACTTCAAGTTTATGAGGAATGAATGCTTGACTGTTCTTTGACTTGATGTTCAGATCTGAAAGAACAAAGACCAGGTAACTTAAATCATAAGTTTAAACAACAAATATCATTTATTATTATTTGTATTCAATAAGTACCAGACTGAACTCCTACCACAAAAGAGCTTTGATTCTTGGTTGCACACTTACAAACATGTGGGCAACGTGAGTAGCAGGGGCTGTTCTTAAATCATACCTTTGATGTTTCTACTGCACCTAACACTTTAACTTCGTTAACAGAATTGAATGCACCCCCTGTTTATTTTTAATGATTGTTTTGACAAGCTTGCCTCACTGGTCCCATGAGGACAGGGAAGCCAATGAAGACAATTTAGTTGGGGCTGGCTTTGAAGTGAGTTAGACTCAAGAGTGTGAACCCAGTTCAGCCATATGTAGCTGTGTGCTCCTGGCGAGTTACTTAAACTCTGTGTCTTACATGTGGATAGCAGGGAAAGTAACTCCATCTATCTTAAAGATACACAGATGACATCACCCTTATGGCAGAAAGTGAAAAGGAACTAAAGAACCTCTTGATGAAAGTGCCTCTTGATAAAAGTGAAAGAGGAGAGTGAAAAAGCTGGCTTAAAACTCAACATTCAGAAAACTAAAATCATGGTATCCAGTCCCATCACTTCATGGCAAATAGATGGGGAAACAGTGGAAATAGCGACAGACTTTATTTTCTTGGGCTCCAAAAGACGCTTGCTCCTTGGAAGAAACGCTATGGCCAACCTAGACAGCATATTACTTTGCCAACAAAGGTCTGTCTCGTCAAAGCTATGGTTTTTCCAGTAGTCATGTATGGATGTGAGAGTTGAACCATAGAGAAAGCTGAGCACTGAAGAATTGATGCTTTTGAACTGTAGTGTTGGAGAAGACTCTTGAGAGTCCCTTGGACTGCTAAGAGATCCAACCAGTCCATCCTAAAGGAAATCAGTCCTGAATATTTATTGGAAGGTGCTGAAGCTGAAACTCCAATACTTTGGCCACCTGATGCGAAGAACTGACACATTGGAAAAGACCCTGATGCTGGGAAAGATTGAGGGCGGGAGGAGAAGGGGATGACAGAGGATGAGATGGCTGGAAGGCATTACCAACTCAGTGGACATGAATTTGAGCAATCTCCAGGAGTTGGTGATGGACACGGAGGCCTAGTGTGCTGCAATCCATGAGGTCACAAAGAATCGGACACAACTGAGTGACTGAACTGAACTAAAGACTGTAACATAATTGACAACTACACACACATCTGTTTGACAGTAGATAGTCAAAAAATGGTAACTTATGTTAACAGCAAACTCCTCTACCTTCATGAGTAAAAAAAAAAAAAAAATCTGTGCTGGAAACTCCCTATTAATCTTGGCCAAAATAATCTTTTTGAACCACTAGCATGGTGACAGTCACCTGTCAGTCATCTGTCCCAGGGATTAGCAAACTTTGCAAAGGATAGGCCAGTAAGAATTTTAGGCTTCGCAGGCCAGGCAGGCTCTATGGAAACTCTTAACTCTGTAAAAACCAGTCCTGAGTGACCCTACTTCAACCAGCCCCAGCAGAGACAAAATCCTGAATGAGCAGTCTGTCCTGGCTTATGAATAAGATATCAGTTTACAAGAGGAATCCAAGTATAAGCATTAGTACATGAATGATAACATTAAGGCCCTGGCAGGGACCAAACCTAAGCTCTGAGAAGTGCTGTGGAAGAGACTCAAGGAAACCCATGTATTACTATATCAGCTTCTGCTGAAGCTGGCTTCCCTGGCGGCTCAGACAGGAAAGGATCTGTGTATAATGCAGAAGACCCAGGTTCGAGCCTCGGATCGGGACGAGGCCCTGGGGAAGGAAAGGGCAACCTACTCCAGGATTCTTGCCTGGGAAATCTCATGGACAGAGGAGCCTGGTGATCTACAGTCTATGGCGGGTCACAAAGAGTCAGATACAACTTAGCGACTTTCACTCGCTCTGCTGAAAAAGCCCTCCTCAAGCAACCCACAGGGATCATTCCTCTCACTTTCCCTTTTCTTCTCATTTTCCCTTTTCAGTTGTATTACATAAGGCGAAAGTTCTACAGTCATGAACTGAATTTATAACAGAAGTTGAATTTATAACACTGTTGCCAGGGCCAACATGTATAAATGTATCATGTTCAATTTCTACTGTAAGACAACTGGGAAGGGATGATGTAACTTGGAGGCAATCAGAATTCATATAATTAGTAGAGTTATACAGGGATTCTACTGAATCTCAATAAATGCACTGCTGCTAATAAACAGGCAATTCAACCCCTGCCACTTGTGTGCATGTGTGCACATGTGCGCGCATACGCACACACACAACTGGTCATTTCAACTCCATTGGTTCCAGCAACAAAGACTTTCTAAGTATTATTAACATGACAGTGAAAAAATAAGAACCTCATGCTCCAGGTGCATATTCATAGCTATACATTTTTACCATTTTTCTATTTTTTTTCTCCAACATGTTTTAATTAAAAATAAATAAATAACCAAAAGCTTTTCCCATCTTCAGTTTTACTGGAAATAAAAAAAATCACAGAAATCAATCACAACTGCTTTAGCACTAAGAGCAGAAGCTCTTGGTTTCACTACTCAGCAAGATGCTTCCTGAACATTATGAATGTTGAAGCACAACCTTTGTGTCCTGAAAAAAGCAACCGAGTAACAGACATCACTAAAAACAGCTGACACCTTTGACCCACATTCCTTCAAAGTAAAAAACTTATAGGAACAGACACCTTCCCATTTGTTAAAACACTTGCTCAACAGAACAGAAACACAAAGAAGAGGCAAAATTAAGAGGGCAAAACATCACACTTACTTTCTCTGAATGCTTTACAGTAGCCAAGGAAAGACAGCAGGAAAAAAAGGGCACCCAGGAGGTCTGCACGGCCAACGACACCAGCAACCTTAAAAGAAGGCAGAGGAAAAAGATTTATGTTAAAAAACATTTACATGAAACTTTGGAAACACAAAAACATCCTTAGAAATAGAAAACCTTATGAGACTCGGCCACCTATTAAAATATACCCTCTAACTGTGGTATGATCTGACAACTGACTCTCTTCACTTTTCAGCTGCTTCCATGGGAAGGCTGGGTTGACTCCGACCTACTGTGGCTCTTCTGTGGGTCGTACACAGGCAGCGATGCCCATGTGCACAGATAGCCCTGTCACTCGGCACGCTGTGCCCACAGCCCCAGAGACCTCTGCCCTAATCAGGTGCCCAGGGTGGATTTTTCAATTGGAAAATGTTATCAGCTCAAAGGGCAAGATATTTAATAAAGAAAATTTGACTGGAGACATGAAAGACAGGTGGGAAGTAAGTGTTACATGTCATCAGTCAGCTGGAATGACATAGGGATGATGGATGGTTCAAGGGCTGTCTCTGCCTGTCTTTCCCTCCCTTTAGACCAAAAGCAATTAAGTGGGTTAACCTGGAAAGCAGAAGGCTTCAAAAGAGGTTGACCAGTAAGATGTAAACAGTACGATTTCCAGCACTTCTTTCCTGCCCTTCCCCATTTTCTGCACCTGATGATGGCCCCTTTCTCCACCTTAGTGTCAAAGAAGCAATACAAAATGGGTGCTTCATTTCTTTCAAGCTGATTACTCCAACAATTGTTCTCCAAAAGTCTCAGGTCAACCAAAGACAGAGAACTGTGCTCCTGAGTACTGGTCTAGTCTATATGGCATCCTTTATTAACTAGCACCCAGACGGGACATGTATCAGAGCTTGCCCTGTGACTCTCAAGGTTTTGCTTTAGTTCCTGGGAAGTTCATCTTAAAGTGAGAAGTGTGATGTTGGATCCAAAGACTAGCCTACAAACAGAGGTAAGAGAGTATATTTCACAATGAATGTGAAAAATCACTATATTTACATTCTGTGCCTAGGTGCGTGTACAAGCCACAGCTAAAAGAAATGCCTTTTAGGAGCAGTTTCCACCCAACCATGGCTTCCGATGCTGGCGAGGCAAACACCCATCTGATGGCGAGCTCCTGACACAGGGGCACGCGATCGCTAAGAAGATTGACAGCTGAGTCCCACCTGTGACTGCCAGGCACGTGAAAAAACTTCCTCCCGGGAAAGAAGCTAAAGACAAATAAAGGTTCAACAGGCCTCGGCCAAGGAGGCCAGTGTGCTGGAGGGGTAAATGGAATGATTACTTCATGAAGGCAGTGAATGCGTCATGAGCTTCTGGAATCCTCTGGCCTGTAACTTGCTCAGAGATGCAGTGAAAACGAGGATGCACTGAGACCCCATAGACAAAGCCCGGCCCACAGTGGGCGCTGGTTCACTGTCAATCCGACAGGCACACATGGTTGGTGGGATGCGGGGGGACAGAGCAGTGGACCAAGGACACGGCAGCTTAGGGAGAAGCAGGTGTGGGCTCTGCGGCTCCGCGGCCAGTGATGGAGGAAGCAGCTGGTGCCGTGGGCCTCCCATCAGGACCAGAGAGGGGCACGAGCAGCATCTGCCAGCTGTGGCTCTTCACAGGGCCCGAGGACGGTCCAGCATCCCAGAGCCTTTCAGAGGAGACAGTAAGCAAAGCCAACCCAGAGAAGGGCATCCAAGAAGGTCCTGAGAGCAAGGGGGCTGGGGAAGCAGGGGCTGGGAACGTGGAAGGTCAGAGAACAAGGCTTCCTATATTGGGTGAAGGGGAGGGAAGTGGCTTGGATAAATACCAGGTGTAAGGGGCAAAAAGGCCAGCCTAAACCACTTGTTATCTGAGTGGTTGAGGTACATTTAAAGACTCCCGCTAACATATAATGTTGTAAATCATCCAAATCTGGGGGAAAAAAAAGACTTCCACTAAAATCAACTTTAAATATCATAAACTCATTTTTAAAACAAACATTCTACCTTTGGCTAAGTGAAGATACTCCCAGGTCTTAAGGAATGTACATTACGTCATCTGACATGAAGAAAAACAGGTTTTAAAAAGTATGGCACTAATGAGAACCTACTGTATCACACAGGGAACTCTCCTCAGTGCTCTGTGGGGACCTAACTGGGAAGGAAATCCAAAAAAGAGGGGATATGTGTGTAAGGATAACTGATTCACTTGCTATACAGCAAGAAACTAACACAAAATTGTTAATCAACTATACTCCAACAAAAACTAATTTCAAAAAGAAAAAATCTCAAAAAAAAGTGTGATAAGTGTTTCAGTGTACAGAGTATTTAGTCCTTCAGTGAATTTTTGGCATAAAGAGATTCTATAGGAAGAAAATTTTAAAGGCTATTCAAAAAGGTACTCAGTTGAATTGTTTGGCCAATGTGCATGGGTACAAAGAGATTTTTTTCTTTTCTGTTATTTGCATTAATATGTATTTTCAGGCAAAGTTATTGATAAAGATTTTTTTTTTTTCCCCTTACAAATAACCTGAAACACTCCCATCAGAGTTTTCTGGAAAAGTCACCACCATTCTCTGAGTCCGTAACACAGGAGGTGGTGGTGTTTCCCTGCTGGGCACGATTTGCATGGGAGCCATAGAAGGAATGAGGGGAGGGAGAAGGGGGGTTGTTTCACCACCTGATTCCTTCAGTATAAATTCTGGCTTCACTGGATGAGCAGGAGTATTAAGGACATCTGGCCTTCCCTCTCTGACACCTGAATTCAAGCAATCCGAAATCTTCACCAATGCTTCGAGTTAAAAAAAAAATCCTACAGTGGCACTAGTATCCTCGGGGAACCCCCTGGGGCCGACATCCTGGTCTTTAAACAGACAAGAGGCAAGGAAACCCCCTCCGTTAGGTCTCCTCCCTCCCCTGGGGACCCAGCCCAAAGCCCAGAGACTTTATTTCTTGGGCTCCAAAATCACTGCAGATGGTGACTGCAGCCATGAAATTAAAAGACACTTACTCCTTGGAAGAAAAATTATGACCAACCTAGGCAGCATATTAAAAAGCAGAGACATTACTTTGTTAACAAAGATCCATCTAGTCAAGGCTATGGTTTTTCCAGTAGTCATGTATGGATGTGAGAGTTGGACTATAAAGAAAGCTGAGCACAGAAGAATTGATGCTTTTGAACTGTGGTGTTGGAGAAGACTCTTGAGAGTCCCTTGGACTGCAAGGACTGCAAGGAGATCCAAGCAGTCCATTCTAAAGGAAATCAGTCCTGGGTGTTCACTGGAAGGACTGATGTTGAAGCTGAAACTCCAATACTTTGGCCACCTCATGTGAACAGCTGACTCATTTGAAAAGACCCTGATGCTGGGAAAGACTGAGGGCAGGAGGAGAAGGGGACGACAGAGGATAAGATGGTTGGATGGCATCACTGACTCAATGGACATGAATTTGAGTAAACTCCGGGAGTTGGTGATGGACAGGGAGGCCTGGTGTGCTGCAGTCCACGGGGTTGAAAAGAGTCAGACACAACTCAGCAATTGAACTAAACAGAGCTGATAGAGAGGATGAAACTGAATACTGGCTATTTGCTGAAACAAGGAAAGGTGAACAGACAGCTGATCTGTCTTCGGAATGCTAATTTTTAATGACCAATGGCTTTGTCTCAAATATGTGAGTTTGAATGGCTGTCGTGGAATGGAGGGATCGGAGATGAGAAGCAAGGTGGGGCGAATTCATGAGCAGGTCCCAGCAGGATGTGGGGACCCACTCACCAGCTCAGCTCGCAGCACGCTGACCTTTCCTCGGCACAGGTTCAGACGACCAGATCTTACATTCTATCCCTGCACCCCTCGGCCACGTGATGGACTTGGGTTAAGTCCCTAATTTGTCCTCCTTGGCTGCTTCCTCTTCTGTAAAGTGGAAATTGTTATGCTGCTCCAGCTGAACCCACAGCGTTTTGGTGACAATTGTGTGAAGTGTGAGGAAGTATTTTGGAAATCACAAAAGCTCTCGGCTAACAAAGGAAAATTGCATCAGACCCCTTTTCAGGAAAAAAAGGCAATCTCAGCCTCTAGCTTTAGACCCAGAAGCTGGGCAAGGTCCACCATTCACACCTTCCCAGTGAGGTCTCATAAGGGACACAGAGAGTATCTATCACCGGAGATCATACCACATGGTCATTATGAAGTCTTGGCCCATCAGGGACCCTGCGTTTGTCCTAAGGGAGACCTGCTGTCCCCACTAATCACTGTTCCGGGTGTCTGAAAGCTGGCCTTCTACAAGCTGTACGAAGCCGAGGGAAGCCTGTTTTAGGGAACAAACCAGCGCGTGGACCGCAGCTATCTCACACATGCGCAGAGATGGCTGGCGGACGGTACTCACACACTCCGTGTGCACTGGATGCACGGCAAACAGCAGGGCGGCCAGCAGAGACGACCGGGGGGCCAGGTGCAGCCGCCGGCCCTTGCTCGTGTACTGCAGGCCCCCGAAGAGCACGGAGAAGACATCCACCAGGAGCACGCACACGCCGCCGTGCAGGGCGATGTTGACCACGTGGAAGCTCGCGGGGTGGAAGCCTCCCGACAGATAGTAGTTCATCCTGCAGGGAAGGCAGGTATTCACAGTGGAGGTGCAGAAGCACGTAAATAAAACACGAGCCGCCTGGAGGGAAAGGCTGGTGTGTGAACATGCTGAAGGAGGTGAGCGTGTGCACAGTTGATAAAAATAGCGTCAAGATAAATAATGCCTGTTAAGCTAAGAAGGGTGAAGATGAGCTAAGAACGTAATTAACTGCAGAGGGGAAAACGGGAGATAAGGACCTCTCAGAGGAGTGGGACAGAAAATACTTGGAGAGGAAATGCCAAAAAAAAAAGACAATTATTCAGGGGTGATAAAGGCAAGGCTGTCTTTCAGAAAGATAAAACAGACCACACGTTGCTCGGGCTGCACCACAGGGACCTGGATTGAAGATGGTCAAGTGACTTGTCTATTCTCCCTGCCCCCAAACTCCCAAATACCCCTTGACAGTCTGCCCACCAGCCTTCTGAACAATGAAGCACTTCCTCCCTGTCAAGGATTCTTGTCTCTTTTCCAATCATGAGTGGTTCTGATTCATCATTTCTATACTTTTTTTTGTGGCTCAGCTGGTAAAGACTCAGCTTGCAATGTGGGAGACCTGGGTTCAATCCCTGGGTTGGAAAGATCGCCTGGAGAAGGGAAAGGCTACCCACTCCAGTATTCTGGGCTGGAGAATTCCATGGACTATATAGTCCATGGGGTCGAAAAGAGTCAGACACGACTGGGCGACTTTCACTTTCACTTTTGAGGGATCTACACATAGATTATCCAATACACCCGAGAAACAGCTATGCATGGGAACTTCTGTGAGATCAATTAATCTAATGCAAACAGCTCCCTGATTCATGGGTGGTGGTGAGATCATCTTTAGTTTCATTTTGTTTTTGGATATTGATGTGGTCACAGAAGTGAACTGCTAGTCGTTCAGTTGTATCTGACATTTTGTGACCTCATGAACCTGCCAGGCTCCTCTGTTCATGGAATTCTCCAGCCAAGAATACTGGAGTGGGTAGCCTTTGCCTTCTCCAAGGGACCTTCCTGACCCAGGGATCGAACCTGGGTCTCCTGCGTTGCAGGTGAATGCTTTGGTTCTGAGTTACCAGGGAAGACTGATGTGGTTCACAGGAGGAAGATTTATAACTTACTTTTTTTTATATGGTGAAAACAAACAGAATTTAATTAGAGGCCACCTGTTGCCTTGACATACTGTTTCCTCCAGCTTAAGCTGCAAAGGGTCCAACCTGAGAGAACTGTGCCAAGTAGGGAGCGCTTCATCAGAGCATCCTTGCTGGGGGCCCGGCAGGTCTCCTCTGGCTGCACGGGTGAGTGTCTGCACCGCGGCTTGTACATCCATCGGAACCCCTGACCGGGGCCCCTTGTTACACCCCACCCGGTGCAACATCACGCACAAGCCTCGGGTTTCCCCTCCCCCATGGCCATCCGGCGGCACCTCACCTGAAGGTCAGCACGGTCAGGGGGCGGTAGGACTTGTGGCTGGTGTTACTGCTCAGCCGGCTGCCCCAGAAGTCATGATGCCACAGGTCCCCTAGAGGCGTCTCCGCGCGGAGGTCCTGCGGGCAACACAGCAGATGGCGGGGTCGGGACTGCGATCTTGCCCTGGGCAGAAGCCCTCTCTTCTCCATGTCTCCCACTGGTCCTGGGTCCAGCCACCGTTGCCCTCACACCTAGCACCCAGCCGGGCCTCGTCAGTATCCCAGAGCAGTATCCCACTCTGCACATTCTCCAAGTGATCTCTCCCACCCACTATGAGAGCCCCCGCCCCTGCCAGGACCAAGCCGATGTCCTACAGGGACACCGCAGTTGGGATGCTCTGGCCCCTCAGCTGAACTCTGCCGGTGCATCTCCCAGACTCTGGCTCTGCCCCTGGTCTCTGGTCCCCAAATGGCCCCTGCTGCCACCCGCCCCAAGACGGTGCACCCACGGGTCTGTGCCCAGATGGTCACCCCTCAGCTCCCCAGAGCTCAGCTTCTCCTGCTCCGCATATTTCAGCCACTGGGCTACGATGTTCCGGAGTTGAAACAATTCTCCTCCTGGGGGGCCCAGAGCATCCTCTACCTGTCTTCACAGTGCCTGTTTCCCAGGAGGTTCATAGTCACGTGACTGCTATCCACCCCACTGCGATGGGGATCCTCCAGGCCTGGGCCCCTCCCCCCGGGTTTGGGGGGAGTGCAGAGAAGGGGCTCAATCCATGCAGAATGAACAAATGGACCAAGCAGCTAAGTGAGGTCACTATCACCCTCTCTCACATCCAATATGTAAGGTTGCTGTTTAGCCATTGAGCTGTGTCTGACCCCCTAGACTGTAGCCCGCCAGGCTCCTCTGTCCATGGGATTCTTCAGGCAAGGATGCTGGAGGAGGCTGCCATTTCCTTCTCCAGGAAGTCTTCCTGGGAGAAGACTCCAGGGAGTCTTCCCAACCCATATATTTTAAACCTTCCCATTTTGGATTATGACCTAAGCAGATAGTAAAATTAGAGAAAAAAAAAACTTCCACATAATTTTTAAAGATAAAAATGACCAAGTATTCTAAAACAATACCTATCTTAGAAGGTAATTTAATTTGGTACTGAACTATATAGATGCTTTAAAATGAATCTTTTTTTTTTTTAACATTTAAATATAAAACTAGATTACTAAAACTGTGCTTAAGAAGAAGAAAGGCAGACAAGGCACTTGGAGAAAGTATCAAAACTGAATATTAACTTTCTCTCTGCAGCATGGTTAAACTGGAATATTTTAGGGTCTAGAAATTAATGATGTGATAAGCACTGCACGGTAGAGGAGTCAAGATACTTCACGGCAGTAACGAAAACAACTCTGATGAACTTCAGCTAAGAAGGCAGGCCTTAAGGGATATCACAAGGCCCGGTGACTCCTGGGTGGGCTGGAAGACCTGGCTCAGGGCCATGCAGGCAGAAGTGCACCCACAAATGACACCACTGGATGTGTTGCTGAGCACCTCTATCCAGGTCTGTATCCAAATGCGGCAGTCTTTGCTGCTCACGATAATCCGAAGATAGATGATGGCCCAGATGGAAGAAGTGGGCCAAATCATGGCCACTCCCAGAGAACAACCAGGGCCCAGGATACACAGCAGAATTCAGTACATGTTTGCTGTGCTCAGTCGCTCGGCTGCACCCAACTCTTTGTGACCCCATGGACGTGGCCCGCTAGGCTCCTCTGTCCGTGGGATTCTCCAGGCAAGAATACTGGAGTGGGCTGCCATTTCCTCTTCCAGGGGATCTTCCTCACCCAGGGATCGAACCCGTGGCAGGTGGGTTCTTTACCACTAGTGCCACCTGGGAAGCCTTAGGTGCTTAATGACGCAAAGGGAAAAGTTTGACGACGTGGGACAGAGGCAAGCTGGTGACCTGACACCCACTTAGTGGGTGAATTTCACTTCCGGTGGGTATCAGCTTCAGGGGCCTTGAGTGCACACACCCGCCTCTAAGAGCCAAGTCGCTATTTCATGAGGGTCGTGTGACCCACCCACTAACTCCGTTTACTCCGTTACCCCATTGGAAGTCACGTACTTTTGCATTGTTCCAGAACTACCTGCTCAGCTGTGAAGAGAGGAGCAAAGGATCTTTCCTTGCGTTTGAGCAGAAAACGAACACCAACAAAGCTCTAAATATTTGATTGGGTGTAGCCCACACACAGCAGGACGCACTGCAGGAAGAAAGGTCAATTTTTCCTCCTAATGATTTCTAGAAAAGATGCGCTGTGTCTCAAATGCTTGCTGACTCCACTGTCTCAAAGAAAATCATCATCTCCATGAAAACAGGCAACTCAACACTACAAGGAAGCATCTGGAAAACAGCCTTTAACACCAAGAAACTCCAGTCGCAGCCTGTTTCACATTGCTGCAGGCACGGTGCCAATGAGCAGAGGAGGACCTTTCATTAGACAGGGAAGGGGAAAGAGCGGGCTCACAAGTGAACAAAGGGGCCCAGTGGGAAGCTCCAGAAAGCTCTGCCAAGACAGTGTACGGGGCGTCACAGAGCGCCTTCATCTGCCTTCGCCCCCAGAAGGAAAGAGAAGCACAACCTTGTCCCGGGCGTCTCACGTATGACACCCGTCTCCCCACCTCGCTCACCGAAGCCCTTCAACACGGGTCGAGTTGACACTTCAAACATTCTCTTAGAGTGGCAGAGCCAAGAAACTCTCAACAAATGGAATTTAAAAATAACAATAATAAAGGCAGACCTGCCTGGTGGTCCAGTGGTTAAGAATCTGCCTGCCAATGAAGGAGACACAGGTTCGATCCCTGATCTGGGAAGATCCCACATGCTGCGAGGCTCCTACGCCCGCACAGCACAGCTCTTGAGCCCGCGTGCGGCCACGACTGCGTCCACGTGCCCTGGAGCCCGTGTTCCCAACAGGAGAAGCCACAGCAGTGAGAAGCCCGCACACCGCACCTCGAGAGCAGCCACTGCTCTCCACAGCTACAGAAAAGCCTGCACAGCAGTGAAGACCCAGCACAGCCAAAACAATAAAGGCAGTCACACATCCTCGCTGGAAAGCAGCTATTAACCCACGTATCCCGCTGGAGAATTGCTATTAAGCCACCCATGTGACACCGTTGCTCAGAGCTAACACACTTCTTTTGCTCCTAAGCACTGCTGCTAAAAGAACTGAAAGAGAAACATCTGCAGTAAACTGCTGGACGAACTTGAGGGAAATTACAAGTGAAGAACTTGGATTCAGAATAAACACCAGGACCGAAGTCTGTGCCGTGGAAATGAAGCAAATCATTTACAGGATGTTACAAATAAACTATCTGCCAAACAGTCACCTCCTTACCCCTCGCCCCCTCCCCTCCACCCCACGTGTATGCAATCATACAGGTTCCTTGCACAGAGAATTTTCCTCCACGCTTTCAATAGGAAAATGGCTTTCTCCACATTTGGGAAAATCTTATGGCTTCAAAATTCGCAGAGCATTAAGGACAATGTTACAAAGAGATGCTACCATTATATCTACTAGAGAAAGAGAGAGGAGTGGATTCCGTCAGGTTCTCTTGGACCCTTAAGGCAGACACAAAACATCTGCTGAGCAGCGGCTGGTTTGGTTTAGTCACTAAGTTGTGCCCGACTCTTATGACCCCATGGACTGTAGCCCGCCAGGCTCTTCTGTCCATAGGATTTTCCAGGCAAGAATACTGGAAAGGGTAGCCACTTCCCGTCACAAAGGTTCTAACTACATTCTTTCCACCATCTTTCTCCTCCGGGCTCTCTCTGCCTCCAAGTTTCTTGTTCAGATTTTCTTTTAGCTCGATGAAACCCTTTTCTTCCCTTCCCACAAACCAATTTCTTCTTCCCTACCTCTATAGCTAGCGACTGAGAGAGAATATTATTTCCCCTGCACCCACTGGTGAGCAGAACTGGCTGGGGTTTCACAAATTCAGCAAATCTGAGTCTCCACATGTGAAACGAGCAGGGACGAAATGAGCAGGGAATGCAGCCTCCTCGGGCAGCAAACTCCGGGTCATCCGCAACTGTCAGCAGGATGTCCTGATGCTCCCAGCAAAGGACACAGAAGGGGCCGGCTCACTGCCTGCAGCCAAGGACACACCTTCCAGTGGGGGATCAGACTTGCCCACCACTACAGCAGGTGTGTGTGTGTGCGTGCCACTGCAGCAGGTGTGTGTGTGTGTGTGTGTGTGTGTGTGTGTGTCTGTCTGTCTGTCTGTCTGTCTGATGGGGGCATCCTTCTGGCCTAGAGTTTTGTAAAATTTTCTCACAAAACCTGAAATAGCCTGCAAGGCTCTGCAATACCGTGGCCTTGTCATGTTAGAAGAACGGTCTCTCTGATATGTGCACGGGCTGGGGCCTCATGCAGGGCACCCAGCCAGGGCAAAGCCTGAGGTTAGGCAAGGCTGGGAGACCCTGCTGCCAGCAATAAAAGGGGCCCTAAATCAAGGAGATGCTTTCTAAAAAAAAGATGGGAAATCTGGAGCACAATGGGGGCTCAGATAAAGGCTCAGCGAAAGTTCAGTGGAGCAGGGGTCCCTGTCCTCTGGGATCTAATGCCTGGTGAGCTGAGGTGAGGCTGATGTACTAATGATAGAAATAAAACGTGCAGTAAATATAATGCACTTGAATCATCCTGAAACCACTGCCCCGCTGCCCCAGTCCAAGGAAAAAAACTCTTCCACAAAACTGGTCCCTGGTGTCAGAGAAGTTGAGGACCACGGCCAAAGAAAATAATTGATGGAGATCATTACTGAGATGCAGGCAAGTCAGTTTACCAGACAGACATCAAGATACGAACCTTATTGTTAACAATGGCTTCAGAGTCATCAAAGACAAAGTCTCCATCGTAGCTCCGGGCAAAACACACAAGGGAAGCAAAACCCACGAGGAACTTCGCCCAGAAGGGAGGAAGAACAGAGGATGGGATGATGTGGTCCAGGCTGGCGTCCCACTCGGCCATCCTGACAGCTGCGCCCCACCGGCCTCTGTGTCCAGCATTCTGCTGGCTAGAAACCTGTGAGAAAAGTGACACGACATCAATACTCATCAATACCTTGGGAGGAGGTTTATACTGCAGGCGGGCTTCCCAGGTGGCGCTCGTGGTAAAGAACTCGCCTGCCAATACAGGAGAAGTAAGAGACACAGGTTCGATCCCTGGGTCAGGAAGATCCCTTGAAGGACGGCATGGTAACCCAGTCCAGTATTCTTACCTGGAGAATCCCATGGACAGCGGAGCCTGGCGGGCTGCAGTCCATTTGGGTTGCAAAGAGTTGGACACGACCGAAGCAACTTAGCACACATGCACACATATAGTAGGCATGATTACCTCAAGTGAAAAAGAGCTCGCCGGTCAATTATTTATTTATGCTGTGAGTTTATAGGGTGTGACCCTAAACAGCTTTAAGGGGTGCTTTCAAACCTCAAGTGGGCAGAACCATCACCTTGGGCACAGGGAGCTTCTCCTGGGCCCAGACACAACCGACCACGTCAGGAGTCTTCGGGTTTCTGATGCTGGATTATCCCTGAGAAACACTGATTTAAGCGAATCCTATGTTTATCAGCCCCAGAAGGCAGATCATTTTTATAGTCCTTGAGCCAGTTTACAAAGCTAAAGAAAATCTTGCTTCATGCAATCAAGAAAAATCAATACATATTCATTGTTGGGTCTCAGCACAACAATCATGTGTGTTTGTATGTGTGTGCATGTGAAGCATGGTCCTGATTGTGAAAGAGCTTATGGTCTCTCTGCAGAACACAGACACTACTGCCCATTCAATGAAAATCTGGGAGAAAGAAGAGTTTAACAGAGGTGAGGTGGCAGGCACATGCCCGCGGTTCCCACCCAGGGGACAGCCAGAACAAGGAGGCCTTACTGCAGACAGATGCTGGGGACAGCATTGTTCCAGCATTGTTAGGCTGTGTCCTAAAGGAGAGTGGGGAGTCCTCTTCTAGGTGAGGACCTCTTCTAGGTGAGGACACGACCTCCAATGTTGGTGAGGGAGTCAAGTTATAAAGACACTTATTTTAGCTTTTGTTTCGAATAGGCAAAACATTAAAATGGAATGCTGTCTCCCAGCCTTGCCAGTTCTCACTTTGGTGGCCTTGCGTGTGCTGCCTATCTTTGAGTTCACGTTCTGTGCACTCGGCAAAGCAAAAGAACTTTCCGGCAGTTGCCTAAGAACTTCCTAACCTGGAATTCACCAATTATGAAACCACTTCCCCTCCCCATCACAGTGTCTCTGTCCCCATGCCCACCACACCTTCTACAGGCACCCTCTTTGGTTTTACCAGGATCTTGTCTAGGTCTGCCTGACCTTGGCCAAGTTACTTCACCTCTCTGGGCCTCAGTTTCCTCACCTCTAAAATGGGGATGATAAGTAGGCCCACCTAACACGGTTGTCATGAGGGTTAAGCAGGACACCCACCGAAAGTGCCTAGAACCACGGGGTTTAATGACTGTCAAAGGAAGATTAACTGTTATTACAAGTACTTTCTTCAAGGAAGAAGAAAGCACATTCATTTGAGAATAATTTGAGAATCGCCTGGAGCATCTGGTTGACCGGTAATAAGCAAGGGTCTCGTCTTGCCTACTAAGGGAGCAGCCCCACACCTTCACAATGAGATGGAAGAAAATTTCAGGCCCTTAGACTGGGAGGCACTTTAGATGTACAGATGACCCCTGAACAACTCAGTGGTTAAGGGCACTGACCCTTCTCGCTGTTGAAAATCTATGTATAGCTTATTGTAAGTTTGTATCTGCAGTTCCTTGCTATCCAGGGACTCAACTAACCACAGACCAGGTAATCTTGTTTTTTTTTTGGCTCCACTGCATGGCATGTGCGCTCTTAAGTTTCTTGACCAGGGATCAAACTCGCGCCCCCTACAATTTTGTTTTTTTTTTTCTCCCAGTACTGAGGTCTTTACTACAGAAAATAATCTGCATATAAGTGTACCCACACAGTTCAAAATCATGCTGTTCAAAGTCAACATGAGTTTGAACCTGTATTTGTTTCCAGGTCTTCCAGGGAATACCCAGATGATGGAATCAATGAGAAGTCAGCTCAAGGGACCACTGGACGTCACGGGCCTCTTTTCCGCAGCCCTCTGCCTGAGTGAACGTGCCGAGGACCCAACAACAGTCAATGGGACACTCTCTTCTACGGCAGCACTGTTCCTGTCCAGGCCCGGGGAAGGGGGTAAACCTATTACCCCCCAGAGGAAGGGCTTTGCAGCTCTCGTGGTGCTGGGCCCTCTAGCTTTTCCACCTGAGGTAACTCATTTGTAACTCATGCTTTCAGCGAGTACAGGGGGAATATTCCAGCCACTGTGTGTCACTTTTCCCCCCTCTTTTCACTGAAAGGATAAACCACTGGTCAAATCCAAGTTACAGTTGCAAACACAACAGAGGTCACCACGCAGGCCCCAACCACTGTGTCCATATTTGAGCTCCAGAAATCACTCCTGCTACAAGTGAAAAAAGATTGAACAGTTAGGAAGCTACCCTGACATAATATGGAGGGATACAAGAGTTCTTTGGTTTAGAAAGTGAATATGAAGGAAAGCGAATGGTTTATATTAGTTTCATATCAATCTTAAATGTGAAATGGAGCTGTGAGCTGACAGACGGTCCCGTAACTGATCTTCGTGTTGTCTGCTTCAGGCCCAGATATTTGAGTTTGATGTTCAGTCGCTCAGATGTGTCTGACTCTTTGCGATCCTATGGACTGCAGCACGCCAGGCTTCCCTGTCCTTCACCAGCTCCTGAAGTTTGTGCAAACTCTTATCTGTTGAGTTGATGATACCAGTATTTTACAAGTGGATCTCTGAGGTGCAAATGGCCCTCTAGGAAGAGTACTGCATCGGGAACTCATTTGTGCTCCTGAATTAGTTGCTGCGGCAGAGGATGAGATGGTTGGATGGCATCATCAACTCAAAGGACATGAATTTGAACAAACTCCGGGAGATGGTGAAGGACAGAGGAGCCCGACATGCTGCAGTCCATGGGGTCGCAGAGTCAGACACAACTTAGCGACTGAACAACATTAGTTGCTGGCCTCCCTTTTCATCTCAGATTGTCTGTAACACACACTAGTGCTTTTGGTACTCAGGCAAGGGCTGCTGAGATAGACAGAAGGCAGACTATAGACCTGAACATCGGGACCAGGCCTGGACTCTTGGGGGGTCAACAGGATGGATAAGCCCATCTCAGAAGGGCTCCCCCTCTTCTCTGGCAGGGACATCAGGGAGCCTAGATTCTGCCCAGCTCCCCATCCTGGCTGATTCTTCCCTCTTCATTGCTGCTTCCCTTCCCTGGTCCAAGATCCCCACTTCTCTGCTGCCCGCAAGGACACTCACAAACGCCCTTTCCATTTAAGGCCTGATTGCTAATGGGCAGAGTAGGGTAGCTCAGAAAATACTGTGGCTCAGCAAATGCAATTCTGCTACCGTGTGTCAGGAACCTTAGTCTAGCCCAGAGGTTAACAGCACAGGCTCTGCAGGCAGGCCGACTTGGATTTGCTACCTACATGACCTTGAGTTGCCTGGTCTTTCCAGGGATCCATTCCTCATCAGCACCATAGGGTACCAGGAGGTTGTGCTAAGGATTAAACAAGAGCATATATCGAAACAGTGGGTTCCCACTACTGTTATTATTGGGCTTTCCTTCTGGCTCAGCTGGTAAAGAATCAGCCTACAATGCAGGAAACCTGGGTTCGATCCCTGGGTTGGGAAGATCCCCTTGAGAAGGGAAAGGCTATCCACTCCAGTATTCTGGCCTGGAGAATTCCATGGACTGTATAGTCCATGGGGTCCCAAAGAGTCAAATACAACTGAGTGACTTTCACTTCACTTCATTATTCTGCAGAGATTAGTTCCCAGTGGCCCAGTCCCTGACATCCTGTCTTGGGATCACCCATGTTGCCATCATGTTGCTGAAGCTCCAATATTTTGACCACCTGGTGCAAACATCTGACTCACTGGAAAAGACCCTGATGCTGGGAAAGATTGAGGGCAAGAGGAGAAGCAGGTGGCAGAGGATGAGATAGTCAGATAGTATCACTGACTGAATGGACATGAGTTTGAGCAAACTCCAGGAGAAAGTGAAGGACAGGGAAACCTGGCATGCTGCAGTCCATGGGGTCGCAAAGAGTTGGAGACGACTGAATGACTGAACAACACGTTGCCGTCAATTTTTATTCCTGAGGATAGGCTAGCCAACCAAGGCCAGCAGTAGCCCATCAGGTAACGTGATGCAACTGAGAGAAGGGCACCCTTCTTTGGGGCAGACCCAGGGCACTGGCTCTATGACCAGGCATTTGTATGTCCTCCATAAACCACGTGGCTGAACACATTAATCTTCCTCCTCCAACAGTGAAAGTGAAGTCGCTCAGTCATGTCTGACTCTTTGTGACTCCATGGACTGTAGCCTACTAGGCTCCTCAGTCCATGGAATTTTCCAGGCAAGAGTACTGGAGTGGGTTGCAATGTCCTTCTCCAGGGGATCTTCCCAACCCAGGGATTGAACCTGGGTCTCCCACACTGTAGACAGACACTTTACCGTTTGAGCCACCACTGACTTTTTTCCTGCAAGGATTGCAGGCAGGCTGGAAGCTCAGAACAAGAAGCCCTGCCAGCATGAAGTGGCACCTGGAGGGAGACAGTTCCCTTCCGCCTTTTTGTACCAGGAGAAGGAAAATGGCAAGCCAGTATTCTTGCCTGGGAAATCCCATGGACCAGAGGAGCCTGGCGGGCTATAGTCCATGGGGTCGCACGACTCAGTCAGACACGACCGAGCGACTAAACAGCAGCATGAACAAGGAAAAGGTGCATATTCTGTTTCTTTCTGGATGGGCCCTGGGCGGCATCACCCCATTCGCCTTCCCCAGGGGATGTCCTGCCTGCGAGCCCTGGCTCCTGGGCCATGGAAGTCTGCCTCATGAACAGAGAAGAAAGGAGCAACATCATGGCCTCAGGTTCAGCCATGCAGGGCTCGTTAGCCCCACCAGTGACCACACTGCTGATCGGATTCCTGTCCCTTTCCTGTGCTTTCCCCCCACTGCGTTGAGAATTCACTGGCGCCTGTATGTAGTTAGATTTGGAACTGAAGCACAAGCCTCTCTATTTTCAATATCTCAAACTCCTTATACCAAGCTTCTATTTTCAGGGGGTTAAAACCAATCAATCAATTGTCAATGAAAAGGTCAAAGAGACTTCAGAGAGGGCACACCATCCCTCAAAAGCAAACATACAACAGTCACAGAGCTCTGAACCCTGGGGACGCGGTGACGCCTGACACACAGCCTGGACTGCAGTAAGGGGGTGACAGATCAAACTTACACAATCCCTGGAAAAATCAGCAGTGAACACCTACTGGAAAATATTCTTCCAGCGGCACTGAAGGGCCTTCTGGCCTCAGACTGGCCTTTCCAGCTCATCGGTATTGATCCATCCGCACACCGGTTGCCCTCTGCCAGCCTGAGATGAGACAGGCCCTCTGGAAACCAGAAGAAATACAACCGTTCCTGACCCAGCACCTGGAGACCAGAGCTGGCTGCTTCTCTCTTGGGGCCCCCAGGGCACTGGAGACTCATCTCTCCCGCCCTCCCCCCACGCAGCACTGAACACAATGCTACTCCAAGTAGCTTCCTCTTCGGATCTCCTTCTCGGTTTAATTCAGTAACGCTCGAGGGCCAGGCCTGCCGACAGCAAGAATGAATGCGGGAGGTTCGACATTCCCAGTTCCACTGTCCCAGAAAGTTTCCAGCTTGCTAGCTTGTAGCCATTTTCCCATTGAAGTCAGCGGGTGACACTTCACTCCACCTCCCTCTGGGGCGCCCCAGGCGCGGTCGGGGGTGCGGGGACAGGGAGGGGGGGGGTCCCCGTGAGTCCTCCCTGTTAACTGTTTCTCAAGAAACACTCCCCATCCATCTGCGCTCCAAGAGAAAGAGCAGTGTGGGATGACTCACGGGGCTCTGGCTAGCTCGTTCCTCTAACTCCTTTCTTTTGTGTGCGGTTAAAAAAAGAAGGAAGAAAATACACACAGCCTACAGACACAACATCAACACGACGAGAAGCCCCGCAGAGTTCGCAGGAGGTGAGGCGGCGGCCGCGCCACCCTCTCGGCTTTCCCAAACTCCACGCTCGGCGCAGGGAAGCGGCAGCTCGGTGGGGGTCCCGGGCGCCCCGGCCCAGGCACGCCGCTCGGCCGGGCAGCCAGCGCGGGGAGGCTGGCACTCGCGGCGCGGCCAGGGTGCCGCCTTTTCCCCTGGGCGGGCGGCCAGGCGGCCCGGCTGCGCCCAGACATCGCTTGCGCTGCGGCCAGCTGGCGGGTGGCGCAGGGGCCCGCGGCCAGGTGTCCGCTCCGGGGGACGCGCCAGAGGCGCCCGTGCGCCCGGGGTCGACGGGGAGCCCGCGCTGCCGGGGCGGCGGTGAGCGCGTCCCCCTACGCCGCGCCCTTTGTCCCGCGTGCCGCTGACAGCCGGGCGCACAGCGCCAGGGCCAGCATCCGCCGTGACCCCGGCCCCGGCCAACTCCTCCAGCCGCGCCGCCGCCGGGCCCGGCTCGGACTGCCGGAGCTCGGGGCGCGGCGGGCAATGGAGACCGCCCGGGTCCGCTCGGCGCCCAACTCCGCTTGCCTAGCCGCGGCGCCCTCGGCCCTGCAGGGGCCGCCCCGCGTGTTACCTGCAAGGAACCCGAGCGGCGGCCGCATCTCCCCGGCCGACGCGGGAAGTCCGGCAGCTACGGGCGCCTGCCCCGAGCTGGGCAGGGGGAGGGGCCGCGCGCGCCGCGCCCCCGCCCCCCGCCGCGTCCCCCCGCCCCGCGCCGCCCGCGCCGCCCGCGCCGCGCGCTCGCCCGCACCGCCCGCAGCTCCCCACGCGCGCGGGCGCCCCCCCGTCACACCCCGCCACCTCGGCCCGCCCCCTCCTCGCGGCTATTGGCTGCACCTGCCGTCACTTTCGCGGGCGCCGCCGTCCCTCTCGAGCTCATTGGCGGGCGCACCGGTGACGTCAGGCCAGAGGGAGCGAGTCGCGGCGCAGCGAGCCGCCAGAGGCTGAGAGGCGGACTCAGAGCGAGAGGAGGAAGCGGAGTCCTGGGCCCCGTGCCCCGGGCGAGGCCCGGGCGGCGGGCTGCGGGGGCCACCGCGGGCGTGTACCCACTTCCCCTCTGCCCCTCGCGGCGCTGGAGCTCGTTCCCGGCTTGTCCGGCGCTCCTCTCGCTGCCGGTGGCGCTCGGCGGAGCAGTGCTGCCGCGTCCCTGCAGGAAAGGGAGCTGGATCGCAGCGACCCGGACGATCCAGACTTCCTCCTGCCTGGGAGCCGTTTAGAGTGTGTGTCTCAACTTTCTGCGTCTCTGGAAAGACCCGATGAGACTGCGTTCTTCCGTCCAAGGCCCTGCTGCTCCCCCGCCTTTGTTTTTAGCAGACCCTCTCCCACGGCTCTAGTCTCGCATCTCCTGCTGACCCACGAACCCTGCCGGCTCCTGCATCCAAGTCATTTTTGTCCTGAACTTCCGCACCCAACCACATTGCCACTCCGCGCGTTTCATAACCCGCATTCTTAGTAGATTCCTCTGCCTGCCGTGTCAAAAAAAAAAAAAAGAAAGAAACTTTCTCCACTTTCTACTGCCAAGCCTACAAAGTGTTAGTCGTTCAGTCGTGTCCGATTCTTTGAGACTCTATGGATTTGTAGCCTCTGTCCATGGGATTCTGCAGGCCAGAAGACTGGAGTGGGTGACCATTCCCTCCAGGGGAATCTTCTGGACCAAAGGATGGAAAGTGAAAGCCGCTCAGTCGTGTCCAGCTCTTTGCGATCCCATGGTCTGTAGCCCACCAGGGATTCTCCAGACCAGAATACTGGAGTGGGTGGCCCATTCCCTTCTCCAGAGGATCTTCCCAACCGAGGGATCGAAGCCAGGTCTCCCGAAGGAGAGACCTGGGCCCACCCAGGTCGGCCCACGGCCCACCCTTCTTTAGTCTCCTAGATCGCGCTCAGTTCTTGGTTTCTGCATTCCACTGAACCTGTCTTGGCTACTTGCAGTCGGTAATACAAAGAACACTCTCCTACTTGTTCTACCTAATCTCTTGGCAAAGTTCATTCTTCCTTCTTAGAACACTCTGGTAAGAGCGATAATCTGCCCGTCCCCCCCCACCCCGACCCCCAGTCTCCTTGGCTTGCTCTGGGTCTGCTTCTTGATAACATCCAAGTGATGTGTTTTAAAGATCTCAGCCCTTTGCTCTGAAGCCACAATTTTTCACTGCATGATTTAACACACTGCCAACATTTCAGTGAATATCTTCCAAATTTACAGTTCGGATCCTTCCTTCTCTGAGCTCCAAACCTGTGTATCTAGCTTCCTATTCAGCTTCTCCCCTTGGTTGTCACCAGAACCTTGAATGGAACTCGTGCAAAGTGAGAGGTGAGCTCTCACTGCTCGCTCCTCTTCAGGTCTCCCTGGCATGGTGATGTGTCCAGTACTTCACCAATCTGCCATCACCCTTGGTATGTTAACACGTCACCAAGACTCTACTTGTGACATGTGGATCAACTCTGAACAATTCTTTTCACTGCTGCGTTTAGTGCAGTGCAACTGTGTGTGTCTTCCTAACCCACATTCAGTGATGTCACACTGGTAGATTGCGGTCAGCCACTGTGGGAGTGTTTCAGTTCAGTTCAGTGGCTCAGTGGTGTCCGACTCTTTGCAACCCCATGGACTGCAGCATGCCAGGCTTCCCTGTCCATCACCAACTCCCGGAGCTTACTCAGACTCATGTCCGTTGAGTTGTGATGCCATCCAACCATCTCATCCTCTGTCGTTTACACCATGGAAATTAGCAAACACAAATCGGGCTCAATTTGATGTTTTGCCCACTGTCTTCTTTGCTAGATTTAAGAAAGTGATGGAGGAAATAATAATGCAGATGAAACTTAAAAATGTGTTGCACTTAGTGATGACATGAAAAAATCTTAATTTGATGGGCTTAATTTGTACAAAGGTGAGACATAGTTGAACAGATGACATATCAGATTTAATGATAATGAATGTATTGGGAAAAGAGCAGATTGAGATGCATTTCCATTTGTGAAACCATGGCTGACTTACAAGCATTGGTTGGATATAGACACAACCCCTTAGCAGAAATCGACAAAAGCGTTCCATGACATTCCATCAACTACCAGCACAGCTGGTGAAGAATCCGCCTGTAATGCAGGAGACCCTGGTTCAATTCCTGGGTTGGGAAGTTCCCCTGGAGGGATAGGCTACCCACTCCAGTATTCTTGGACTTCCTTGGTGGCTCAGATGGTAAAGAGTCCACCTGCAATGCGGGAGACCTGGGTTCAATCCCTGGGTTGGGAAGATCCCCTGGAGGAGGGCAGGGAAACCCACACCAGTATTCTTGCCTGGAGAATCCCTATAAACAGAGGAGCTTGGCAGGCTACAGTCCATGGCGTTGCAAAGAGTATAAGCATTGGTTGGATATAGACACAAGCCTGTAGCAAAAATCAACAAAAGCGTTTCATGAGATTCCATCAACTATGTAGAAGTTGCAGGAAAAGAGTATTTGCCTGCTTTTGTCATTACTTGCAAACTGTGTGTTACAATCCTTTATGTCATCTGTAACATAATATATACACCTGTGTGTGTGCATGTGTGTGTATGCGTAGGCATATATCTTTATTGTCTCCAGAGAACAAGTTGTTAAGCATTTACTAACATACTCAGTTCAGTTCAGTTCAGTTGCTCAGTCGTGTCTGACTCTTTGTGACCCCATGAATCGCAGCATGCCAGGCCTCCCTGTCCATCACCAACCCCCGGAGTTTACACTGGTTGACATAAATTTTCCAGTGAGTGAATGGTGAAAAACGAAAGGTTATATTTAGCTTTATGACTGTCTTTCAATTCTCTATAGACAATACACTCCTTACTTCCACCCCCAGGACGATTCCCTGCTCCCAGTGTTCTTAGACGAAGGCCCCAGTGCTGATGCCTGACCTGGCCCCTTGTTTGCTGCCCGTGAGTTATCTCCTGGCCCTGTCACCTCTGTTTCCTGAGCTGAGCCGCGCAGGCCTCTTCTAGTCCTGGAGGGCTCTGCTCCTGTCCTTCCTGGGCTTTTCATATGCCCGAAAGTGCTCCCTTCCGCTCATCTCCATGATACTCCACTAACTCTAATTCATACTTGGGTCTCTGCAAATGTTCGTTGCTCAGAAAAGCCTTCCTTGAATTCTTTCTTTCAACACCCTTAGGTGCCTCTGAATATACTCTCATAGTTCTTATCACCATTGTTGCTATCTAACCACGCGATCATTATATCAAGCCCATCTCCATCATTAGACTTCCATGGAAGCAAGGACCACATCTGTCTGAATGACTGAACACCTTGCAGACAGTCCACAGTGTCTCTCAGAGAGAAGTACATTTCTGAAAGTCATTCTGATGTTACTGGCAGTGTTTGGAGTCAGAATTGGAATCTCCTGGCTTAATCCAGGGGTGTTCTGCTCCATGAACTGCTGAGCTAGCCATGATCAAAATGATTTCATACCATGTACTGAGCACGGTGGCAGGCTCTGTGGAGAATATAAAGATAACCAGGGTGCTGATTCTGCCTGTCACAATCTTACGGTTTAATAAGAAGTGTAAGCTGCAGAGAATGTCTCCCTACTGCTCGGCCATCCACTGACCCCTACCCCCCAGCCCCAGCCCCTTGGGTAGGAGCTCTGCGATCACCACACTCACGGAAAGTTCTTAATGTGTACCAGGCACTGTGCGGATGCTTTGAAGTTGTAATTTTATTTTATATTTAAAAAAAGACATATTTAATTTTTTGGCTGTGGTGGGTCTGCTGCTACATGTGGGCTTTCTTTGGTTGTAGTTTCCGGTTTGAGTTTCTCTTTCTCTGTTATGGTGCACCGGCTTCTCATTGAGGTGGATTCTCTTGTTGCAGAGTAGGGGCTCAAGGTACGCGGGCTTCAGTAGTTTTGGCTCATGGGCTTAGTTGTTCTGGGCACGTGGAATCATCCCGGACAAAGGCTCGAACTCGTGTTCCCTACATTGGCAGATGGATTCTTGTCCACTCGACCACAAGGGAAATCCCCCATCAGTATGTTTTATCAGGTGGCACTGGGAAGAGCAGAGTATCGAGGGAGATTTTTATTTTTTTAACCTCTCCGCGCAGCATGCGGAATCTTAATTCCCCTACCAGACATGGACCTGTGCCCCCTTGCATTGGAAATGCAGAGTCTTAACCACTGGACCGCCAGGGAAGTCCTGAGAATTTTATTTTTAACACATAAAAGATTTAAATTTGTT